GGATTAAAAATGAAGTGGACCAAACATGGTAAAATCACACTAAATAATATTAAATGAAATGAAATAAATTACATTTATAATAATAATAAACAATAATAAAAATAATTTAAACTCACTAACTCACAATAATAAACAATTTGTCAACATATAGTTCTCAGTGTAAAGGCAAAATAAAATGTCAGAACAAATGTTATTTTGGTATTGTTGAAATACTATTATAGTTTTTTGTAATATTTATTTGTAGTAATATTTTGAATTAGATTTTATTAATGTTTTCACATTAATTTTAGTTCAAGGTTTATTGATTTTGTTGTTTGTCTTTTTAATGTCTAAATAATATTTATTAATTTTGATTTATTAGTTTTAATTTATTTAGTTTTAGTAATTTTAGATTTTTTTTTTTCACTTTGTTTTATTTTAAGAAATGGAAATGTTAACAATAATAGTTAACAGTTAATAGTTAATAGTTAACAATAATAACCCTGATAAAAATACACACAAAGGCATCAAATCAGATCTTAGGTCATTTTATTACAGTAACTTTACCGTAATTGTGTTTTGTTGAACTCATAAGAGCGGCAGTGGAGGAAAACGCTTATAACCGTATGAAGAAAGTGGTCAAATGGTACATTTCTGGATTCTACAAGAAGCCAAAGGTAAAGGCTCATTCACTTAACAGCCCTTCAGACATCTCGAATCTGTCATTTTCCGTCATATTTTCATCATTTTTGTCACTGACAGGGTTTGAAGAAACCGTACAACCCCATTATTGGAGAAACATTTCGCTGTTTATGGATCCACAGCAAGACCAACAGCAAAACCTTCTACATCGCAGAACAGGTGAAGCAGCAAAATCGACTTTAATTCCACTCAGTTTCTACCGAGCCTCACACCAACATAAAGTGTCTGTCCTCCTCCAGGTATCCCATCATCCACCGGTTTCAGCCTTTTACGTCAGCAACAGGAAGGATGGCTTTTGTCTCAGCGGCAGCATCCTGGCCAAGTCCAAGTTTTACGGTAAGACAGAAGATACGCTACGATAAATCTCGTCATTTTGTATAACACACACACACGCGTGCGTCTGATTGCGAGTTTGTTGGCGTGTTTCTCAGGAAACTCTCTGTCGGCCATCTTGGACGGTGAAGCCAGGCTGTCGTTTCTGAACAGAGGAGAGGATTATGTGATGAACATGCCCTATGCCCACTGCAAAGGTCTGTTTTTCACACACACACACACACACACACACAAACACCCCAGACTCTATATATCTGAAAACAGCCCTCATAACTCGCGACTAACACCCGTCCCCTGTGCTGTCTTCTGTAGAGACACATCTAGGAATGTTTACATGTGTAGTAACTCATTTGGCCTTGTTTAGATATATGTGTGCAGTATCCAGTCTAGAGTTTTCATTTAGTTAGCATATGACAGTTTGGTAACACTTTTTTTTTTATAACAATTGAAACATTATTGCATTATATAACACTTAACAGATGATTAACGAATGTAGAAATTAAATATTCTACTTAAATGTGCATGTATACATGTAGTCATGTCCATATATATGTCTGTATATATACATGTGTATATGTATATATGATGTGTGTTTTACTGTAATATTTATATCATATGTAATACAATTGTAAGTATATGTATATATATTTTGTAATATATGTGTAATATATGTATTGTGTTTTCACCTTTATATATACCTTTATATATATCTTTATAATTTATATATATATATGTTAATATTTGTAATATTTTTTTTTTAATTAATTTGTATATATATT